AGAAAAAAAAGACAATTGAAAATAATTGCCAAACAAAACAATTGAATAAGCGCAATCAAAACATGATAGCTGCTAGATTTAGTGGTAGAAAAAAAAGATTAAAAAATTAATTATTCTATTTTGATTATTAAATTATTCTATTTTGATTATTAAATTAAAAATAATAACCGCCATCTAAAACAATTTTACTATCCGATTTGATGTTAAAAAAGTTACCGATTTTTTATAGATTTTTATTATTAAATAAACCATAATTTCTTTTTATCAAAAAAAAAATAGATGAGTGGTACACGATTTTATGTTACAAAACACTTTTTGATTTTGTGAAAATAAAAAAGTAAATATTTATTATTAAATCAGCCATATTTTTTTATCCAAAAAAAATAAAGTAAAATAAAACTGATAATGTTTTTGTGATAATTTTTTTATCATCCATAATTTTTTTTATCCAAAAGTAAGTCTATCTTGTCCAACCAAACAATTAATAAACTTTCCACTTCTTAAGGCCAACCTTTCTCTCTCATTCATTTTTTAATTAAAAAAAAAAAGAAGTTGCTATTAATAGCATGTAATAAATACTTATTGAGTTTGACCAGAGTTTGACTTGCCATTTTTAAAAAATGGTAATTCTTTTTATATATAGATATATAGATATAGATATGCAAATTATAGATTTTCAAAAGAATATAAGGTAGATAATTTTAATAATTATAATATTTTATAAACTTATAAATAGTAAAAATTCACAACTTAGATAGAAAATGGTAACTTTGAAAAAAGAAAGAGAATCTTCAATATAAATGAAAATATAACAAATGAAACCAATGTTGTATAGAACTTTTGAAAATTATAATGGCGAGAAGAGAAAAACATATGAACAATTGAAATGGAAAAAGCACATCAAGGGTTGGGCCCGGAAGAGACTGGTAAAGATCGATGTTCTTGACTTGGGCCAGAAGACCGTTACTTTGGTACGAGGGTTGAATCGACAATGTTTTAGCAGCTGGATTTCTTGGGCCTTTCTCTTTCTTGGGAAAGGTGCTCCTATAATAAAATATTTACATTTTAATAACTTTTCAGATGTAAATAACTTTTCATCAAAATTAAATTTGGATGAGAATTTTTTTTTCATATATACGAAACCCCAATTCATTCACATGGTATTAAGTTTATCTCTCTTCATGTTAAATGCATAGGGCTAAAAAACCGCCAGCTATTAATTGGTATTAAGTTTCTCTCTCTTCATATTAAACGTGCAACGTTGTTATCAGTGAAATCTTTTCTATTAAAAAAATCATATATACTGTATATATAATGATCCATAATCACGATATATATGTTTAGAAATACTGTATATATACATCAAATAAACATGATCTGAAATTTCTCTAATATTAACCGTATAGTTATACATAAGGTAAATAACATATAAACAACACTGAAACGGTATTAACATAATACACACTTCTGAATGACTGCAAAATCTAAATCGAATGTATAACTATACATAAGGTAAACAACATATAAACATTACTAAAACGGTATGAACATGCAAAACATAAATCGAATGTATAACTATACATAAGGTAAACAACAAATAAACATTACTGAAATGGTATAAACATATACACACTTCTGAATGTCTACAAAATTCAAATCGAATGTAGTTATACATTAGATAAACAACATATATCTACTTTATCAAAATTGTAAACATATGTACTTTTCTCTCTCGTTCGTTGGTAGAACTGATCGACTCGCCAACAACTGATGGATTTCTGGTCGCCAGCATTGCTATCACCCACAACCGCTGTTATTGCTCTCCGCCGGCCACAAAATTCACCTCGCCTGGGAGTGGCCTGGTGCTCGAAAATTACTATGCCGTGGACCCCTGCTCTCGACTGCTCCTCTATCAGGTCGAGAGACGAACAAAGCGAGAAATGGATCAATCAAACATCCGATGTAAACTCGCAGCAGACAATGGCAAACACACTAAAATTTATCAGGTAAAACCAAGCATGAAACAGAAACCGGACCTTGCGAACGTAACTGTATTCGCTCTCCTTCTCAGCATCCTCAAACGTTGTAATCGGACCTCCGTATACGGGCAACATATTTCGAGATTTAATGTATAAAACAAACAAAAAAAAAACAAGCTATTGAAAGTGGATTCCCAACGTATAAGATCAGATCGAGGAGGAACTCTCCAGGGAAATTTACATATATGGAGACCCTCTCGTCTCTGTCGTGGACAACTCGGACTCCTCGTGCCTGGTCGCTGGGTTGGCGGCTTTCAAACTCCGGCGGATGTTGCCCTCCTCGCCGTCTAACTGGTGTCAGAAAGCCGATAGAGACGGTGGGAAGATTTGACGAGAGGCTTGAGAAGAAATTCATGTGAGATTTAAGCCGAACATGGTGTTGGTGGTTAGGGTAGGGCTTCTTGAATCTGTTGGTGGCGACTGAAGAAGAGGAGTTGGTTAAATAATTATCTGGAGAGAGAAAATCAAAAGCCTCAATTAATTAAACTTCGTAATTTTCAATTTAAGTTACTGAGTGTCGAATTTTAATAATATTTAACAAAAGAGTAGTAGGATGTGTAATTTTCTCTTGAGACCTATTTTTTGTGGCTTAATGGGTCGACCAATAGAGAGTATGATTTGTGTACAACGATTGCATAATATAAGTATGAGTGTATTATTTTTTTCATAAAGAATATATAATAATAGTTTAGCTGAAATGCATCTGACATCACGACCGTTTTGACTTTTGCACTTATGCCACGACTTTTGGGTCTTGACATTTCGATACCTAACCTTTTGTTTTTGCAAATGAAGCATTGATCCGCTCTCTGGCGAGCTGATGCCAACTTGTCCGACAATTTATTAGATGTGACACACATTTCTCAGTAAAAAAAAATGTCAACTCTAAACGCCGTCGTTTATATTAAATCCCAAAATTTACTTAGTCTAATTTCATATAAATCCTAAATTCATAAACCAATCTCAAAACCTAATTTCCTATTTTCTATTTAACTGCTCATCCAGGAGGAGATGTAGGTTATATGACCTATCAACAAATTTCAACTTAATTTCATCCTTGTTGGCAACCCAGAAAACTATACGAATGTTATGAATTTCTTGTACATATCGATTAATAGGTTCTTGGAGCCATTGGGGTTGAAAAGCTCAAGTCGAAGCTAATAGCTATCATGTGTAGAGAGATGACTTCGATTTATTGCGGTGAATTTTGAAAACAAAATTTTCGATTTGTAATCATCCTCTTATCTCAGTATAAAAGGAATCTACGGGTCTGAATTTTTAAGATATTGAATTTAGGGATTTAGGTTTTGAATTTAATTTATTAAAATTAAACGATGCCGTTCAATTTGACATGTTTTTTGGTCTGAGAAACATGTGTCGCGATAGTTTCACGTGTCGGACAGGTTGCTGGAGACTGGGTCAATGCTTCATTTTGCAAAAAAAAAAATAAAAAATAAACAAAAAACAAAAAAAAAATTAGATATCGAAATGTCAAGGTCCAAAATAAGAGACATAAGTGCACAAATTGAAAAGATCGTGATGTCAGATGCATTTTAGCCTAATATATATATATATATATATATATATATATATTTATTTATTTATTTTGTTAGAGAATTTTATAACATAATTGAAAATATTTAAATTAATTCACATCTAATATCTTGATAAATCAAATGAAAATAAGATATTTTGATATCTCTACTATACATATAAGAAGACATTGAGGACCAATTGTGGGCTTGACATGTGTCTTTTTCTGACCAAAATGCCCTTGCTTTGGCCTATTTTTTACACAACTGCCACTTCAGTTTAAACATATAAAATTACGTTTTGGCCCTTCTAGACCCGTCTCTTGCAAAGCCCCCAGAAAACCTGCTGAGACAAGCATGCAACAATGAATTAAATGTTAATTTATGGCTGTAAAAAAGTACCAGCTTTTGCCGACACCGCATGTCTTCCTCCTCCAAAAAGCCAAAAATTAGGGAATACCACTCATTCTTCTACATTTTCCAAGGTTCTCTTATTCCACATTCACCATTTTTTCAGAGAACTAAAGATTTCACCCAAAAAAAAACCTAATGGCTAGAAGGGGAGATACACCACCTCTGGCGTCGATGGGCGGCGTGGGCGCACGGCGTGTGCGCTGCCCCAGGGTGTCAGTCGGAGTGTCATGGCTTCAATCTACCTGCTTTAGGCCCGAATTGGGCGACTAATTCGTCAAATTTGAAATTATTTTTTTCTTATGCTTTTCATTTCTTAGACTTTTTTAGGTTCGATTATGATTTTGGATGATAGGTCAATTTACTACTATTATTGTTTTTAATGATTTTAATTCGACAATATTAAGGGAGATGATTTTTTCACCGTGGCTTCGATCTGCTAAGGAGGTACGTCTTTTTTTTTTGGGAGGGGGGTGGGTTACTTCACTTTTTCTGATTCAATCTCTAATCCGTGTGTTTTACATCGTATTTTTTCGATCCACCTACTCAATCGCAATTTGTTGTTTATGTGTATGTTTATGCAATCCTCTCCCTCAGATCTTAACAAAAAAAGAAAAAGCCAAATTTCTGAAAGCCAAAAGAACGTGGCGGCCACAAGAATATGGACGACGGTCGACCAACGACAGTGCAAGGAGCAGCTGCCACGGCGAAAAGGTGGCGAAATCTGCGAGGCGAGCCGGAGATAGATAGAGAGATGAAGACCCGACGGGATGGCGAGCCGGCGACATAGAGAGAGGGAGACCCGGCGGGACGCCAAGCCGGCAATAGTGAAAGTGGGAGACACGACGATCAGCAAATTCACTTCAGTCCGGCGATAAAATGCCCGACATTTGGTTAATCCATGTTGTCTGATTTTTTCGTACAGGATATGATTTCTCCCAAATAATCCCCTTGTTCTATAACCTAGCCGACTCACCTTTTATTTCTTAGAACACTCTCTCAGAAATTGTACTCACATATGGGAAGGTGCTTGAGAAAGCACGGGGTATCGGTGTCGTCGGGTTTCGGGTGGATTTTTCCAGGTAAATGTTTGGCTTGTGTTCAAGTCTACCACAACTGTGGATGAAGGTATATTTGTTTTTATGTTATTGTCCTTTTGGCAGATATCTTTAGTGATGGTCAATGCTTGCGAGTTTTTCTGTTTAATTTATTTTTTTCTCTGGAACATCTTTGGAAATGCTTGTAGCAAACATAATAACTGGTTTTTCTGTGAGTGATGATGACTGGAAGTGGTAAGCTTACCTCTTCTCTCTCTCTCTCTCTATGTGTGTGTGTGTGTTTTTCCTTGTATAGGAATGAATCAACGAAAGTGGGAGTCTGAACGATAAAATTGTTGACATTTTCTGTTCTTCCTTTTTTTGGCACTGATAGTGATGTCCAACAACTACCACTACGTAATGAGATACCTTATTAGAGAAGGATAAAATTCAAACATTGGCTCAATCAATAAATTACTGAGGTTTTATTTTTCGAAAGCCTTTGTTTGGAGGTTTGACTTCGGCTTCTTATGATATATGCATTATTATGTTGTTAGTCTATTTCGTAGATGTTTGTAGAGATTTTGTTGGGAAACAGCTGCTTATATTGCTCCCGAAGTTTTATCGAGGAAAGAGTATGATGGCAGGGAAGGTAATAATTCATCGCTTTAGTATACTTTATAATTTTCGAGCAATTATTTAACACTTTTGTGGTCCTAAAGATTGCAGATGTTTGGTCATGTGGGGTCACATTGTACGTGATGTTAGTAGGTCCGTACCCATTTGAAAATCCTGACGACTCCAGAAATTTCAAGAAAACAATCAATGTAAGCTATAAGATTAAGGCTCGTGAGATGTTGATTTCAGTTTAGTTCATGCACAACAATTTATTAATTTTTTTCCTTTAAAAAAAATCTGCAGAGAATACTCGACGTTCACTATTCGATCCCAGATTATGTTAGAGTTTCCAATGAATGCAAACATCTCTTGTCCCGAATATTTGTAGCTGACCCGGAAAAGGTAAACAATTTAATCATTTTTTTTTTGTCTTCTAATTTGTTGTTTTGCATTGTGCAGAGGATAACCATACCAGAAGTTAAGATGCACACTTGGTTTCTAAAAGGTGTAAATGTCGAATTTGAGCAAGTAGACAAGGAAGCTAATATGCAAGTGAAAAATGTCGAGGATTATTGTTCTCAAAGTATTGAAGAAGCTCTTTCTATAATTCAAGAGGCCCGAAAATCGGGTGATGGCCCGAAATTGGATGCTCATTTGTTTGATGGGAGCATGGATCTCGATGAAATAGACACCGATGCTGATATAGACGATGTTGAGACGAGCGGGGATTTTGCTTGTTCTCTTTGAGGTTGGCTTTTGGTTTTAAATTTCAATCCAATTAAATCTATAAAAATTGAAGTTTCATTATCTGTTGGTCCCTATTTTACATTCACTGTATTAAATATAGTGGATTTGATGTGTAATTCAACTATGTTTATGTTTATGTGAGAGAGCCTTTTGATTTTTTGTTATGTTTATGTGATTCTTTTGATAGATTTATTTTTGTTTTACTGGTGTTTGAGGTTTTGTTCGTCTTTGGAGTTTCATTATTTGTTCGAGTCTTTGGAGTTCTTTATGTTTATGTGATCCTTTTCTCATTTTCTGTATTTTTGTTGTGTTTCGAACTCAGTATGGATGTGATGCGGAATTTACTTTGCTTCTGCATGTGGTTTGAAATCTATCATTAAACCAGTGATTAGAACAACAAATATATTATCAATTTTCATAACATTTTTAGAAGCATCGTGTAGGTATATGTATTTTTGAATATTGATAAATATTGGTTATAGTTATAGACTGGACTAGAGCCGGCTGTGCATGCACAGCCGTCCGGGTGGTGTTGATCTCTTGTTGCAGCTACTGTAATTTATCCACATCTTATTTCTTTTGTTTATAATTTAACTGAGCTACTTTCTAGCTTTGTAGTTTAGAAGGGTATGAGAACGATAAATGTCAATCTGAAATTGATTGTCGTGTGGTGTTGATCTCTTGTTAACAAAACAGAAGCTGGTGCAACAGTTGGAAGCAGTTTCAGATCCTTCATGGCAATACAAAGTTGTAGGGGGGCTAATGCCAAAATTCTTGTTGGAGGTGCAATTGTCGGTTAATGGGCTGACTACCGGGATATTGATTTTGAGCCTTGACTGAGCAGGGACGTGCCTACGGTCCTAGATTCCAGGAAGATTGGACCTGGGAGACTTTCTTCATTTCACCACCAGATTCTGACGAATATGAAACTGGAATTCGTTCTTTTTCTTCGATCCGTTTCTGTTTATTAATTTTTTGTGATCTTCCCTATTTTGCTGGTTATCATTTTAGCTTTGTTTGTATTTAAATTTTCATTTTTATTATTGTTGAACTAGAGTCTCCCTGAATGTAAGATCTGTGTTATCACAAGGGTCTTATGTTACTAAGTGATTACATAGAGTAAATTTATTTCGTCGATACCCAAATTGACCTTGGTTTCGTTGCATGATATATTTTATTCTTAGTACACTTTAACTTTTGATTAGTTTCTATATATTTTTTTCCCCACATACTAATTGACTAATTATAAAGATCTATAGCACACAGAATGACTATTGATCCGGCAAAACTTGAGTTAAAATTGAGAGTGGCTAAAATTGAGAATGTTACGTCGATACAAAAAACATTTTGAACAAACAAAAAAATATGTGGCATTTTGGTTGCTCCATAAAATGTGGGTAAGTGTGTTTTAAAAATTTTACAAATACTAGATATAATTATAGACTGGACTAGGGCCGGCTGTGCGTGCACAGCCGGGTCCAATCTAGTAGAATTTCTAAATTCTCTTCAAATTTTGTTCTTTTTATTTTTTATTTTTTCTTAGGGGGAAGTGCATCACATAATAAAACTTGTATAAAAGTGAGCCAGAAATCTCACTTAACGTGGAGTGCGAAGTAGAGTAACATTGTCCCCGCTAAAACCCTACCATCAGTCCATCAGCTAATTGTGCTCTGAGACCTCGCATGTCCATCGGCAAAATCAAAACCCCGAACGTCAAACCCCAACTGCAATCTACCGTCACTTTGTCACAAACCCATTCGTCCTTAGGGAATGGCGGCCGTGTCGAGAGGCCTGGTTTCTCGTCTGAAGGCGCAGTTACTCTTCATCGGCTCCAGATCGCGCGCGCATTCTCCGGCGGCTGCGTACAGCCTTACGGACGTGAGGACGTTCAGCGCGGCTGCTCAAGAGAACGATTCATTGAGTTCTAGAGTGATTGAATTGAAGCCCGGTGTTATGACCCCCGGCTCTAAGCGGACCGGCGCAATCGCTGTTAAGTGCGGGATGACGGCGTTGTGGGACAAGTGGGGCGAGAGGATTCCCATAACCATTCTTTGGTTGGACGATAACATCGTCTCTCAAGTCAAAACGCCTGAGAAAGAAGGCATTTGTGCGCTTCAGGTTCTAAATTTGCTAATTTTGAATCATTTTTGCCTTTCGTTTCGAAATGCATATTTTCTGTATTGATTAAGTCAACCTCGAAATGTTTGGATGTTTCAGCTAGTTGTTGCGATCCTTTAAATTCAAAGTTGATGACTTTAGGGTATTTTGTTTTGATGTTTATTACGTGCCCCTCAGAGTACGTTCTATCTTGAATGAAGATCAATTTGAGGATATCGTAAATGAAGGGTTACTCTGATTTGATTGTAGTATGGGTTTACGTTCTATGACCATTATGTTGCCTTCACATTCTCCCTTAGGTATGCTTGCTAGTTGCTAGTATTCGTGAACCTTGTAGTCATGAAATTCCTTAATGGGTAAAATCTTATGGTGGTAGCTAGATTGGATGCGGACAAAAGAAGGAGAAACATTTGCGGAAGCCTGAAGTAGGTCATTTTAGAGCTCAAGGCGTTCCAATGAAAAGGAAGCTGAAGGAGTTTCCTGTGACCGAGGATGCTCTTCTTCCAGTTGGAACAGCCATCGATGTCCGCCACTTTGTTCCAGGGCAGTATGTTGACATTACTGGGATCACTAAAGGGAAAGGGTTTCAGGTGACTGTTAATACCTTCATGCGCCTGTATGTGATATCTGCTCTCTGTCTTAAACTCTTCTATTTTTCGTAAAATAACGAGGGTGTGTGTCATATATCAGTACCCTTAAGCAACAATGAATATTCTCTACTCAGTGGCAATGTGTTTAATTTTTTGTATGAGCTAATGGAGTTGCTACATCTGCATATCTTATATAAATAATTCTCACAAATCATATGGACCTTTCCTTTGCTTAGATATGTTTTTGGATTGACCCATGTGGTTATATATGCTTTGGTTGTGCTAGAGCGACTGGATACTCTCAGAATGTCTTTCTGAAATAATGTTATCCATAATCGTTTCTCCCAACTCTCTGACCGTTGCTCAACAGTAAATTGGAACTGAAGTGTTTAGATTCTGTAGATTGAGGCAAGAATGCACCAATTATAAAAACATAAACAGTTCCTCTCACTCAAGGAGTCGTATTAAGTGTGCAAGATGTCTGTATTATTTCAATCTCTTCTAGATTTTCTCATTTATGAGTTTTTAGAAATCAAAAACATGTTGCTCTTGTTAAGTTGCACTTTTTCTTGAGCTGTATGATAAAGCAATGTCGTCTTTTCTTCTGTTTATAGGGTGGGATGAAAAGATGGGGATTCAAGGGTATGCCTGCATCTCATGGAGCATCATTATCACACCGAAGCATTGGTTCTACTGGCCAGAGGGATGCTCCAGGAAAGGTATGGGTTTTCAATTCCTATATTAGATGTTACCCAACTAGTTTTGCAGTATCCTACAATCTGAGAAAGTTCCCAAATTTTAGCAGCATAGTATCTACAGTTTGATGCATTTAATTTGCTGCTTGTTGATATTATTTTTATTCCCCCACCTCCATCTGATAATGGAGGCACAGAAAGATTCATCATATTTTAAAATTATAAAAAAGTGACCAAAACGACCTCAGGTATCTTGTTAATGTTAGAGTTGTGCATTGGTAATGTTTAATAGTTTAATGAATGTGTGTATCATTCTCATTATTCTTTATAGCTCTAAGGGCTTCAAAATATTTTTGAATTTAGATTTCAATTTTAGATGGTTATATACCCATTTTATAATGCATGTGCATCCTGCTCGTTGCTCTATTTCCTCACTGGAATAGTTTTTAGCATTTGTTTATGTCACTTTACCCGGTGAACTCTCTCTCTTTCGGAAACTTTGATAAAAGGGGATATGCTTGTGTTGTTGGGTATGCATATAATGATTTGCTAATCGTTTTTTTCAAACAGGTTTTCAAAGGAAAGAAGATGCCTGGCCACATGGGTGTTGAGCAAATAACAGTTAAAAGCGTTTGGGTTTACAAAATTGATCCTGCAAGGAACCTATTGTGGGTAAAAGGCCAAGTATGGTTTCTTACCTTTCATATTTCTATTGTATAATTGGATTCCAAATAGGAGGCAGTAGATTCTGTTCTGCTTATAGTGATGCACGTGTTGATCTTTTACTTTTCGATTTTAGATTAGGTTCTTAATTTATGTTAGCACTTTATAGTGGAACTTGAGGGAAGATAAAGAAATCTAGTATTTGCCTTTTTCACTTGCTGAAATATCACCTTATAGGTTGATTCAATGCCTTCTGAAACTGGCATTTTTATTTTTATTTTTTGTTTTTGCAGGTTCCGGGTGCGACTGGGAATTTTGTTTTCATAAAAGATGCGGTATACAAGAAGCCAGACATATCTTTGCTCCCGTTTCCTACGTACTTTGCACCCGAAGATGAGGACCCAGAGAAATTGGAACCTCTGGTAGCTGATACTGGTGATGAGGACCCGTTTATGATGGCAGATTAAAGTTGCAGATGATTAGCAGCAGATTGACTCAAGTGTAGTTTGTCATGTGTAATTCTTTTGGTTCTGTTTTCTTGATAAATGATGAATTCAGTGGACTATAGAGATGCTTTTCAAATTTCAATCAATGATTTAATAGTTCGTGGTTCATCAAGCCCTGATGGGACGATTGGTTGTGAACTATTGGTTTTGCTGGGTCGGGATATGATTCCGTTGTATTATCGAGATTTTGGGCCAGCTTATCTTGCTGTCATATGTACAAGTTACAAATTCTTTTAATAAGAGTCTTGCAGGTTGGGGGGAAAAAGATAGATAAGTATCATGCCATTAACTTAGCCTCCTTTATTTTGTTGTTAATAGAGCCATGAAGTAGGCCAGTAACTACTATATATATATATACAAGGAAACAGTGAATGTGGTGAGGCAATATATGTGGAGAAACAATACAAACTAAACAAATCGACATAGCAAATTGACATCATCAGACAAATTCCTTTTCTCAATGCCCTACTTGGAGGCCTTTATCGCGTCGAATAGATAGCAGAACGAGTTAGCAGGAAGAGGTACGTAGATGGAGAAATAGCTTCTTTTGCACATAAGACATAAGGTTGGGTTGTAGAATTCAAAGAAAGAGTGAATAATGACCAGGCTACACAAGCAAATTGTTGATAAAACTCCAAAATGGCATTTTCTTTTAATCAATAATAAAAAAACGTCGATCTCACACACATCAACGCATTCACCCAATTTAAAAAGTCGTGCGAAAATAAATACGCATAACGCGCAAAATATTCAAACTTTCTTACATCAAAATCCCAAATGCCAAATGTTGTGAAGTTACAAATTGTTCAAATCATTCGAAAGACGCCACATGGGGTGAATACTTGCAAAGAAAGATAAAAGTCCGGAGTCATGAGGCATCAAGCAAATTTTCAATGGCGGCAGCTGAATCGACAAACTCATATCACCTGAATGGATATTCCTAATGGTTACTTGTTTTTTTCAACTTTCGTATTCTTTTCTTTCATTCCTCCTCTTCATTTAGGTTATCAGTTATTGAGCTGCTGGGGAGATGCTTGAAGAGATGCAGAGAAAATTGTTTTAAACACCTTGTTGTATGGACCAAATTCTAGAAGATTTTATGAGGCTTAACCACGTTCGAGACTTTATAGAGAAGGGGCAGAAAATTACAAAATTAATAGGATATGGTTATTGACTTGATGAAAAAGGAATTTACTGCCACCAGATGATCATGCAATTCTTTTGTGTGAAGTGAAGTTGTGTTCTTCCAAGTGCTCTATGGCCAACTCTTTGGCCATTAATATCCAAATAACAAACTTCATTTTTCACAACAATTCTACGAATGAGCTATCCAAAGAGCCTACCTTTCCTTCACCTGTGTGATTGGTTATACATGAAACATTCGAAAACAAGCCAAAAAACAGGTGCCTCATAAAATGACAGTGTGCCCAACATATTCCATTCAAATACTTGTCTACCACAAAGAATTTACAGAAGCAGGAACAAATGGGTTTTTTCAAGCCTCATCAGCACTCAAGGGAGAGGTTCTTGCGAATCACCCAGTCGAGACAAGTGAAGATAAGCATCTGTTCCTGTATTACAAGTTAAAAAAGAAACGTATATCAAATTTTAGATAGCATCTGATACATAAAGCTGAATATGATCTATACATCTCAAGACGCCTAGCAATTCTACGTGAATGCAATAAAATGGACACTCCTAAAATATTTCTAACGTATTATCTCGATATTCTTGTATAAATGTATGCACAGAAAAGTTCTGCAACACTTTCCAGATATGAACCTATCATTAGTTAATCCCAACTATCTCTATGCAAAAAGAAATGTAATGCTCAAATTCTTCCCACTCGAATGCCCAACAATAAAACACACAAAAGAAAGAAGTATCAAAAAGAATAGATAAAGGGTGGCTGTTGCAATTCATCACAGGCACAACATGTTTATACAGAAAAATTAAAAATAAAAAATAAAATACAAACAGAATAATTACTAACCATATCCTTCCATGGAGATAATTTGCAGATCCCCTCCAAAATACTTAGCATACAAACGGCTTATGGGAAGACCACAACCATACCCAGCCATGGTTGTTGGTGTTTCAAGGTCAGTGCTTGAGTGCTCATCGAGAGGGTTTTTTGCAGTACTGTAGAGATATGTAAATATTTTCGGAAGACCGCTTCTCGGTATTCCACCCCCTTCATCAGAAATCTAGGGAAACACATACTATTAGCTCTAGTTATATATGAAAACCTATGTTAAGATGCACAATGATAATCAAAAGAAAAACACACGAGCATGACACTTATCGTATTTTTAGTCACACAATTCACAGTTCAAATTTTGAAGCCTTGCCTTAATTGTTACGTCCTCCAAGCCATCAGCAACTATTATCCGGACAGGAGGTGAAACCTTGTCCGAGTCCATAAATCGTTCTTGAACAGCACGCAGTGAATTCTTAACCAACTCAAACACCATCAAATGCAAGTGTGTTGGAACATAACTGACGTGCAAACATATTAAGAGTAAATAATGGGAATAACTTGAAATTCAGAAAGTCCAGATACACTATCCATGATAATGAACACATTCGGAAGGTAATGCGAAATAGTATTCTCTGCAACCAAGAATTACATTAAACTGGAGATACAGAATTGAATGACTTACGGAAATGTAAAATTGGGGTCTCCATAGATATTAACTTCTGGTGCACTACCATACTCTCTGAGACAAATAAAACGTGCATCCTCACTGGCACTTCTCGCAACATCTAAAGGGGACATTTTTGTATGTATGTATCCAACACAATCGGGAAGAGGATTTGGGTCGTGCAATGCCACATGCTGTCCTGAAATTATCATAATCGCAAATGGGACAACAAAAGTAGTAAGCAAAACTTCCCATCAGCACCAAAGATAAAATAGCAAGACTGGATCGGATGTTGAATGAAGAGAAAGCAAGCATGCCAAAGGGAAGCAGTTACCGATGAGCATGCGAATCCCAATTCTAGACATATAAAACCGATCCAAAAACTGATGAATTTCGTCCAGATCCATGTAATTGATTTTAGGATTCAGATCTTTCTTCAACTGTTGCACTCCCAAAGCCATCATAGGGACCACATTGTTGTGCCTAACTTTAATCATCTTAATCATTTGCGTAAAGTCCACCTCATCATTGTTATCCTTAATATCTCGGAAGGACCTGAGATCGCGGAAAGAATCCAAATACCAATCTCTTACCTAAAACGGAAAAGACATGATTGGTTAATATCCACATAATGTTATCATATTTACAAGGTATCACCATGATCCATGAAACCACTCCATTGACCAATCAAAGTGACAATCCATTGCTCACTACAGATCATCAACATTTTACTTCAATTACAGAACATGGAAATAGTGCTCAAGTCAGTCTTACGAAAACGCCACTGAAGACTTCCATTAAAGTACTCACACGACAAGTATAACGCTCAGAACTAAATGCATTACAAATAAGCTCAAAAGCATCTGAGGTTCGACAGAGAGTAATGCATCAAGAGACAGAGGATCCACTTCCTTCTTAACAAAAAAGAGATCAATTAATCAAAATGCATGACTATTTAGCATCTTTCTTAGAATTAAATGAAGTAAATGTAAAATTACTCTCACACACAGAGCCAGAAAATAATCAATCTTTGCAGGGACTAGAATAATATACCTTCAAAACAGCAGGTTTATGAGACAAGCCATAGGGAAGGGAGTCGAGCTCAATAGCCCGACGGGCGATCCGAATAGGGAGCTCCTTATGGAGAAACTGAGCAGAGATGAGGAGATTCCGGGGCGTGGGTCGGGACCCGAACTCCATCATGTAGCGGAGGCTAACGCCGGTCTGCTTCATGGAACCCCATCGCCGGACTTCCTCCATCAGCCCTTTCGATAAGCCCTCCAGTGCTTTTTTATTAGCCGCCATCAATCAATTATTTACCGGGAAAAGCTCCGCCGCACCACTCGATCGTCCTCGACAGATCATTCATCGACCATCACAAGGGGGCGGCGCTCACGATGAAATGCGCGTATGCGCGCGTGAGAAGCCATAACACAATTGGATAGATTAGAGAGGTGAAATGGACAAGTGGGGGCCGTTAAATCGGAGTTGCTAAGGAGACGTATGGAGGAGATTAAGCAAAGGGAATCGGATTTACAGGCTGTGAGTTGGACATGTGTAAAGCCATTGTATATGTTGCTAAGCATTTGCGTTAGAACTTGAAACTCACTCATTTATAGCCGCCTTTGCTTAATCAATAATAATTTTTTAGTCATGTTCGTTTTTTTTTTTCCAAAACGATAGATTATATAAATAAAAACACATAATTACAAACCTAGATACAACTAGGAATAACTAAGCAGCTATCCAGCTGAATCTAAGGGAGACATACCTAATGGTAGCCTAGAGATCTACACTAACACACCCACAAACAGACAAACTACACAATCCCATACGGGAGAATCGAAAAAGTCCCATACGGGAGAATCGAACAGTCCCATACGGGAGAATCGAACTTCTACACAGAAGAATAAAACTAAAAGCCAACAAGGCAACTAAAAACACTACACAACACCAACACTAACACCACATCAACACTAGATAAATAAGAGTAAAGCCCTCCTCCAACTGGGGATCAAACAGCTACGCAAACGACGGCCCGACACCTGGGGACGACCCACCCACAGGAAAGAAACCCAGCCCGAAGGAATAACCCAAAAACTCCTGCAATAGGCTAGCTGGACCCGTCTTCTGACCAAACTCCTTGCCCAAACGGGCCCCTCCCAGCACAGCAACCGGAGCATCTTCCCAAATCCCACCGCCAAGCCAGTCATGGCCTAACCAAAGCTCTCGCTGACCAAACCTCCGAAACACCAGAACCTGCACAAGGGTCTGCGGAGAAGAAGGGAAAGGGGGTGACACCCAACATCCGACCACTCACCGGAGAAGTCGAAGTCAGCCGAACTCCCACGATTCGAGAGTTGGTGAGCCCTCTCCCAACTCATAGGCAACCGGCGTAGCGGCGAATCTCTACAACGAGGAGGGTCATCGACTTCGAACGGGGAGCTCTGCTCGGTCCGGTCGGCGCCCAAGCGCCTCTGAAGGCCCAAGAGGAGGAGGCGGCGGCTAAATTAGGTTTTGAAAGAGAAGGGGTTTTTTTTTCTTTGGTTTCGGATCTCTGTTTTTTTTCTTTGGTTTCACCTCAGTCATGTTCGTTATAATAATCGAATTTGACGCTTTCTTTTACTAAAACAATCACGGGATAATGTGGTTAGTAGACATGGCCTGTCGGCCCGATCCCGCCCGCAATCAACCCGGATTTCGCCGGTTCGTTGAATTAAAACTTTGGCCGTGTGGGCTGGTTCCGGTTCCTAATTTGTTTTTTTTTTCGATACCGACTGTCCGGATTGGATCGGGCCGCATGTTGAAAGAAGACTACGCTTGTATTTTTCTCCACGGGCCGAACCAAGCTGAAATCGGCCGAAAACCGACAGGTCGATGACCCGACGATTCAGAACCAGTTAACAAGTTCGTCAGAAAGCTTGTATAATTTGAATTAATATCTTAATCTTAAATGGTAACATTTATAGTCATAATCACATAGATACATAAATTAAATTATTTTTAATAAATACATTGTATGTTAGACGTGGTCATTTCACAGGCCGCGGTCCGGCGGGCCTCGGATTGATGGCCTTAACCATCTCGAGAATTTATATAATGAACCGGTCCTAAACCGCCGGGTCACCGACCTGCCGGTTTTCGGCCGGTTCAACCTGTGGAAAAAAATATACAAGCGTAGCCCATCTTTCAACCTGCGCCCCGCCCCGGCCCAGATTGCCGGATCGAAAAAAATATTAGGAACCAAAACCGGCCTGCATGACTAAGGTTCTAACTTCTAATTCAACGAACAGGCAAAATCCGGGCCGATTGCGGGCGGGCCGAACCGATAGGCCGAGTAGGCCCGTGGCCATGTATACTATATGCTCTAAAACATTCAAACAAATTTAGAAAAAAAAAATCAAGGTCTAATTAATGCGTGCCAAATTATGTAGGTAGAGGTGGCCAGTCAACGAGACGAGGCCCGGCTCGCCGGGCCATGGGCCCCCCAATACATGGCACCGCGACCGGCCTGCTAAGAACCAATGAACCGGCCCGAACTGCCGGTTCACCGACCCAGCTGGTCACAGGTTGGTACGACCTTAAAAAAATATGGTCCGCCGTCAGACCCGACCCGATTCGGACCGGCCCGTCCCAGACCGGCGGGACAAAAAAAAAAAAAAAAGGAAAAGAACGGGACCGACCATGACCCTAAGGGTCCAGTTCAACGAACTGGCCCTTAGGATGCCGGTTCAGGGTAGGTTCGGGCCAGGCCGGTGCGGTTCAACCCGTGGACATGTTTGTATGTAGGTTCTATATATTATATTTAAAGAAAAAATGCAATCGGTTGACCTTTGCAATAAATTAAAATCGGCTTGTGAAAATATTAGCCCTACGCACATATGGCTGACCTAAAAAATGAAATAATGGCAACGATATCTTGAGTTTTAGTAAATTATTTGAGTTTTGTCCAAAGATGACAGGCTGACGCCTGGCGACACAGGCAGCCTGTATTTCCCCATAATTTAATATAATAACAATAATCATTCCAATTTTTTGAACAAACTTTTTTTTTTTTATTATTATCATAATTATTATTAATAATTATTTTTAACTAACTTTTCTTATTCTCTCCTTTTTTCCCCTCTCTCTCCCTACAACGGCCAAATTGAACCCTAAACCATCTCAATCACCCATCGCCATCTCCGTTTCCAATTTTCCTCTGCTATTGGTTTCGATCCTGAAAGCTTAGCCCCCGCAATTCTCAATCCGCACACTCTGTAGCATGGCCTGAGATTTGTGATAAAGGTTTTGTTATTTGGGGTCGTTTTCTGTTTTCCGGCGAGCCTGCTAATTGAGGAGGAGGAAGGAGATTGGGGGAAGGGAAGACAGAGATGGCTAACCCGGTTTTACAGATGAGCCCTCAGATGGAACAGATCCATGGCGAAATTCGCGATACAATTCGTGCCCTTGGGTAATCTCTCGCTCTCTCTGTTAAATATATATATATATATATATATATATATATATATATCGTGTCACAATCTTCTGCAAAGGACAATGTTCAATTCGTTACTTTTGAGTTGATTTATTGCTTTGTATCTGTGTTTTCATGAATGTTATTAAGGCAGAACCTTTTGTCATCTTGTCTTTGCCCTTCTCTCTTAGAGAACAGCGTCCTGAGTTGCTTTGTTGCTTTATTTAAATGGCTCATGTTTTGAATTTTAGTCGTGTTTTGCATAGCATAAAGTTAACTTTTTATGCCCGCTTGATTGAGGATCTTCAGCACCTGGCTCAATTTCAAATGTTACTTATAATTTGGATTTGTTTTAGATTGGCAGTCAGAGTGGATGTTGATTTTTTAAAAAATATTTTTATGCTTTGTATGTGGTTTCGAGGGTGATTAATCCCTTATCAAAGTGATAGTTCATTGTTTGTTAAGTGAGCTTCATGCTCTCGTTTTACTCTTTCTTAATTTCCATTGATCAGCAGCTTTTTTTCTTCGATGTATTCCTTTTCCACATTTAATATTCAAGGAAATTGTGCTCTTTCTTTGGGTTTGAATAAAGGGTAACTACCCCACTTTATATTTAATGATTTTTAGTGTTTGCATAAACCACTGCTGCTTTTTTCTTTATTTCCTAATCAGAAATGGCTTCCAAAAGCTGGACAAAATTAAAGACTCGAATAGACAAAGTAAACAGCTTGAGGAGCTTACGGGGAAGATGCGAGAGTGTAAAAGGTAAGTGCGATGTATACTGTGGTTTCCTCTTGGAACTGCAACAGCTGTGTTGTCTCATGGGGTGAGTTCTTTAACTATCACATGTAATGAAGATTCCAGGAAGAAATTGAATCATGTACCACTAATTATCCGTCATTAGAACGTTATAGAGGTTGCTTTTGGGTTTATCAATCTGTACATGTTAATGATATTAGTTTATTTATTATACCATGATTTGGATTACAAGGACTAGTGGCATTTATCCACATTTTTTTTATATGCATCTTTTGTAATCTTGTTTACTCATGAGTCATGATTAATTTTGCTGTGTAACTTTTCAGATTGATTAAAGAATTTGACCGTGAAATCAAAGACGAGGAAAGTAGAAATCCTCCTGAGGTGACCAAACAGCTTAATGATGAGAAACAATCCATGGTTAGTATGTTGGGAACTTGAAATTGATTTTTATCTGACTCACATTTGTTTGTTGCCTTCGATATTGATTTGTTCTCGACTGATGTCAGTTTTTGCTAGGGGTGGCAATGACTAGCATGACATGAAACACGAACATTAATAGAAAACACGATTATCGAGACAAATGACATGATAGGCATAACACGACATGAAATAAACACAACACAAAATAAAAAAATAGTTACATTATCATATTTATGTTGAAACAAAATAATAACACAAAAACACGGTAGTGAAACTCAAACACGACACGATAACATGATTTGCCTCCCCTAGTTTTTGTGGAACAAAAATACTCATATTGCTTTTTAGTGTTTCAAATAATGGGGAATATTAATCTGTTAGCTATGAAGGTAATGAAAACTGTTGGCTGGAGGAAATAGAACTTTAAGTAAAGGTATCTTAATTCTCGGTTCTTGGCTTGAAATTGCGCACTCATTCTCCTGTTAGCTATCTCCGAAGTCCAAATCTTAAGATAGCTATACGTAAGATTTGTTGCCTCGATAATATGCAGACACTATGAGCTAAGATTTAGCTTTTGGGGGTGTTAAAGTGCTGGAATAGGTAGTAAATAGCAGCTCACCGTGGTCATGGCTTAATATGCCCACTTGGTGGCATGAGATTAGCATAACATACGCAGTGAGCATATGATTGAAAGATCACTTGATCTCTACATTTGGCAAGTGGGTATGTTAAAATGCCAATGGTGTGTAGGTGAGCATTTTAATTATTAGTAGTCACAATTAGTTTCTATGATATTGGCTATTTCATATGATATTTTTTGTTCCCATATATGACACGTATCCATCAGAAGTTGATTATTCTAATATTATAACAGAACACTTTGATGCCCTGAGAAACACCTATGCAAGATGTAGATGTTTTTATGCTTTGACGGTTTACTTTAATCTGTTTTTTTACCCTTTTTCTTTTGGTTGCTTTGTGCAGATAAAAGAGTTAAATTCATATGTAGCTTTGAGAAAGACGTAAGTTATTTGTTTATTTATGATTTCCAGCCTGTGGTTGTTTGTATCTGTTGCTCTCAGCACAAAGCTCACAGTTCTCATTCGTTTACTCAGTGTTCTTTAATACTGTTTTGAAAGAGCTGTTAATCTCGCATTGTCTATGATATGTATGATACAGCTTTAATATCTTTTAAGCTTGCATATGAACAAGCTACATTATCAATAACTGCCACCAAGAAATAACAAACAAATATATACATAGTTTTGACAGTTATTGTGACTAACTGTTCTCTTTTGGTTATCTTCATATGGCTTTCCCCATCTTCGTTTCCGTCTCTTTTTCTTTCTTTTTTTCCTACTTCTCTACTGTTAATATTACTGGGTTGTCAGGTACATGAGCACTCTTGGGGGTAAAAGAGTTGAACTTTTGGATATGGGAACAGGTCCAAGTGAGCCAACAGCTGATGAGAATGTTCAAGTGGCATCAGGTGGAATTCCATACCAATCATTTCTTAATTATATCCATTTTCAACATGTGATGAATATATGGAAAATAGAAGTCACAGGCCACTGATATCTTGGTACCTGAATTTAGATACCTATTTTCGGCTCATTTGTTCAGGATTTCTTATTTTTGCATGATTTGTCCAATTAAATTATTCCCGTATCAATTATGTTTGATATTCTTTACACTCCAAAAACTAAAGTAAAGGCTATAGAGACAGTTATCATGAATAACTTGTTGCTCCTACAACACTCCGCATTTGATTTTTTTCATCCCTTTCAAATGAACTGTCTTGTTCTGACAGTTGAAAATATAAATTGGTTCTTTGTATCTCGTTTAGTACATGTAACAGTAGCACCTGAAAACAGGCACTGTATTTTTCAATCTAGTACCATTGTGGCATTCATTTATATGAGGTTGTAGTTTTGTCTGGTAGATCTTTTCCACATTTTGCAGCTTGCTAATGATTTATATAATATTTTTTTTTTTTTTTTGGTATTTATCTTTGTAAATAAATATAGAAATGTCAAATCAGGAGCTTATCAATGCTGGAACTAAGACGATGGATGAAACTGACCAAGCCATTGAACGCTCCAAACAGGTACAAAATAATATCTGTGCATTCTTGAAATTTATGTTCAGGATGAGTGTCCTTAACTCTGTTGTTTATAGGTTGTTCACCAAACTATTGAAGTGGGAACACAAACTGCAACTACTTTGAAGGGCCAAGTATGCGCTCCCTTTCTTTTGCAAAATGCTAATTATATTGTCTTAATGGTATTTGGCTGCCTGACTGACCACTGACACTTTACCTTCAATGGGTACAGACTGAACAAATGGGCCGCGTAGTAAATGAACTGGACACTATCCAGTTTTCCATAAAAAAAGCATCTCAGCTCGTAAAGGAGATTGGTAGACAGGTAAGTCATGCAACTTCAGTGTATTTTTTTTATTATTATTAATTTTTTTTTTTTGGTGGAAATGAAGTTCCCTGTGTATATTCCAGGTGGCTACTGATAAATGCATCATGCTTTTTCTCTTTCTGATTGTGTGCGGAGTTATTGCCATTATTGTCGTGAAGGTATCTTCCTCTTGCCATGATGTGCTGCTTTTCTTTCAAAACTGCATATACTTAACATCCTATGTACGACACTAGTAGCAACTTGATGGGTCTCTAATATTTTGTGCATGCTATAGATCGTGAATCCCAATAATCGAGACATTCGGGATATTCCTGGACTAGCTCCGCCGGCTCCTACGACAAGGAGATTGTTGTATGTAAGAAAAGCACAAGGGGACAGTACTTTTTAACTGAGTTGGTCGTTTCAGATCATCATAAGGGTCACCATGTGGTCCAATTTTCATGAAGAGGCTTCAGTGAACGAACAAACGTATGCGGAAATTGATATCCTGTGTGTTGTGGTGGTGTTAATTCTTTTTCATTATCTGGGTTTTATCATTGAGTTGTGCATATTTATGTTTCATTTTATGTAAAAAGAGCACTTTTGTGGTCTGTCCTCACATTTGATTTTCTTTCTGTGTGTATGGTTTTGTTCATCGTGTGAACTGTTAGGAATCTTTCATGTCACTTTGGAAACAAAAACGTATACTCAGCTTATCATTTTCCGGCCGGTGTACTTGTGTAAGAGTGGCGTCCTGTATCAATATTTGATTTCATCTTGTGAGTATCTTATTTCCTAGTGTCCTGCTGTTTGTTTGGTTTTACCAAATTATTACTAGTTTCATTGTGTTGTGGCAAGTGTCTTGACATGTTCAGATTTTCTCGTAGCAAATAATTCTGTTTTGGGTTTTCCATACATAACTAGTACGGTTACCTTGTGTCAATGCATGGGAGTTGCATAAAATAAAAATGTAAATTGTAATTCATACAAAGAGATGAATACACATTATTGAACATTGTGGAAATATGGATTACACATTTGAACATTTTCTTCTTTGTTTGCGAGTTGTTTTCGTAGTTCTTGGCTCTTTTTAATCGTCATTGTATAAGAAATCATTGAGGGAAATTGGAACTTGAAAGGAATTCTAATATATGATGGAATCAACCTCATCTATGCATAAGAACTAATTCAGTGATTCTCCACTGTTTGAACCCCTTAAAACTCTACACTGCAACACATGATTATAACCAAACGTGTAATGTTACACAAAACACTTGAGTGATCAATGTTCCTTATCAACGCTACTGGAGTGTCGAGTGTCGACTTTAAAATGTTCGTGGTTCAAAACTCCAAAACATTTAATGTTCAGGAATTTTGTAGTTAGTAGCACCACCAATGTCGTGTCACAACTAAGATATGTCTGTCCATCTGACGTATTTAAAAAAGTCGTGTACTCCTTTATTGATCAACAACTTCAAATGTTGGTGTCATTATCGTTCGATCCTTCAAATAGCTAGGATCATCAACTGCATCTTTATACATGAGATACGTATTGTGCATAATCGTCTCAGTTGGATCACCATTGCAAAATATCACATAGAATATCTACATTAGCACGTCCTTCAATTAACTTTTCAATGGTCCTATCACCAATGCTTCCAATCCAATTAGAAAAAGTAAGTGTTGATAAACGGATTTGATCAACTTATTTATATTAATGATTATTGGATTAATAGCGTGATGGGATGATTTTATTGAATAATTGAGAATTATCTAGGAAAATATCAAGTCGGTATTTCGCGA